TACAAGGGCGGGGGGGGGCGGGGGGGCGGGCAGACTACACTTTTTAAACTCCCTTGTGTTCAAAGGAGTAATTCTCTGCTCAGCAGGTAAGAGAATAGTCCAAGCTATACTTCTCAGCTGTCTAATTTCCTAGATCAGTGTTCCTCAACTTTGGCAACTTTAAGATGTGTGGACTTCAACTCCCAGAAGTCTGGGAGTTGAAGTCCACACATCTTAAAGTTGCCAAGGTTGAGAAACACTGTCCTAGATTTTAGTCCTGTCACACGATACCCAATAATTTTTATGGGAGACCCCAAGGGATTTAAAACTCCAGTCCTTTTACACATGATACGTTGGGCTGTCCTGAATCACTTTTTGATAAACAGGCATTTCCACCTCTCCTTGAATCTCCTTTGATAGTTCCATCAAGCATTAAAGTTTAGATAATAAATTCCTGGAAGCAAAGTGTGTGTGTGTGTGTGTGTGTGTGTGTGTGTGTGTATATATATATATATACACACACCCACACACACACACACACACACACTTTGCTTCCAGGAATTTATTATCTAAACTTTAATGCTTGATGGAACTATCAAAGGAGGTGTGTGTGTGTATGTGTGTGTGTATATATATATATATATACACACACACATACATACACACACACACATACATACATACATACACACACACACACATACACACACACACATATACAGTATGTTGGTTCTGGAAGTGGGTCACCCAGAATCCTTGCAGCTTCAAGGGTTCTCGGTTGGCAAACACTCTCCAATAGTGGATGGAACGGATTCCCAGAATGTTGAAATACCTTGCAGAGAACTCCTTTACTCCTGAGCTGGCTCTGATGGATTATGTGCAATCGAGGCATTTTCTACTCCTAGCAGCCACGTAGATAGATTTTCTCCATGACAATATGTCCCTAACCTGGTCTTTCAGGTCTCCCAATGGTGCATTCCTTGCCACTGTAACTAAGTCCATCTACCATGGTCATCCTCTTCCTCTCTTTCCTTCTACCTTTCCCAGCATTAGAGCCTTTTCCAGGCTTTGCATAATGTGTCCGAAGTAGGATCATTTGAGCCTGGTCCTTGGTGCCTTGAGTGAGAACCCTGAGTTGATTTGTTTAATGATCCATCAGTTCATTTTCTTAAGCTGTCCACAGTATTCTCAGGAGTCTTCACCCACACCAAAGTTCAAAAGCGTCAATACTCTTCCTGCCTTGCTTCTTCAAAGTCCAACTTCTGCTTCCATGGAGGGTCACAGGGAAGGCCATGGCTTGCAAGATTCTGATCTCTGTAGGTATAGACCCATCACATTTCAGTATCTTTTCCAAGGCCTTCATGGCTGCTCTACCAAGTGGTAGTCTGCAGCATATTTCTTGACTGTTGATCCCTTTACTGTTGAGAGCCGGTTCTCGTTTGCTCTGAATTGAAACACTGGCCAGCAGAGAGCAGCAACAGCTGTCAGAAGCTTTAAGAAAGGACACATGGCTAGTAGCAAGAAGGCAATGTAGAGTGGAGGGTTTTAAAATTTGACTTACACAATGGTGGATGGGAGGTGGGAAGGCAAAGAGGCTATGCTCTGCCCCAGATTCCCCCCCCCCCAAAGTGGGGATGGCCTAAGCACAGTAGCACTGATCTTCTTTTCCAAGATCTTTTGCAAGCGAGTTGAAGGCATTGCATTTGAACATGGCAGATCTCAGCTTCTTAAAATCTTACGCATAGAGGATGGATCGGAAGTGGGTGTAAGATGTTCAAGGAGCAAATTCTGGCTGCTGGAAATTGAGTTGCGTTGTTAGCTGGGATGCAACGTTACAAAGGAGGAGGAAGAAAGAATTGTTGAGAGCCAGGATGGTATATAAGTAGGTCTCAATTTGCGTGATCAATGAATCCCACGAAATGGTCATGTTATTTGAATTCGCACTATTTGAAGTGGTACTACTGTGGCAAATAGGCTAATTGGTTCCAGCTAGATGGAAATAGGCAATGAAAATCTCATATATATTTAAAATTAATCAAGTGAATATTGACCTTTTCCAATCCCCTGGCATACACTTCAAGGACTGATTGATTGATTACATTTAGAGACTGCCCAACTCCTGGTGGCTCTGGGCAGCTCACCCTTTAAGCAAGGACCATAAAGTAGTGTAAAAGCATCATGGTTATCCAGAAAAATGCATTGCATTTCAAAGAGACCGCCAACGGGCTCACCATCTCCACTACTCCAAGGCCTGGGAGAAGAAGGCCTTTTGGAATATTAGCAGAATGGGAGTCATACAGATCACTGGCGGGAGTGCAGGTGCCACAATGGAGAAGGCACGCTTCCCAGGTCCCAACAGATGACACTGAAATTGAGGGGACCTGGACTACATCCACTCTACCCTACCTTACTGGATGGGCCGAAAGTATCAGAGAGAGATGGTCCTTCAAATAACCAGGCACTACGCAGTTAGAAGCGTTCTTGGCAGTTCATGATAAACATCTCTTTATTTACATACTATGCACTTTCCAGACCCAGTGAGGCACAGAGCCCTACAATGTACTTCTTTGTTCTTGCCCTATTGGTTGGCCAAAGCTGTTTGTTCCCATCACTGGTGTTCCTTTAAGTTGCTTCTTACATGACTGATGATGGCGTTGCATCAGCTTCTCAACAGAGCTGCGCTGGTCCAAGGCTCAGATGTTTAGCTGGAAGGCATTTTAAATATCAGCTGACGGAGCATAAACTCACTGGGGGGAAGAAGTGGGAGAGAGGCCTTTCTAAAGCACAGAATTAAAGCGCAAAGGTTAAGGGTCAAACACTCAATACAAGGGACAGAAGCGAGAAATGAATTGTAGCTACCAGGAACCGGAGCTTCAAGTCAATGTTCTGATCACTCCCAAATGAGGAAGCGCATTATGTTTCAGTGAGCCAGGCCAACAAATAAAGCCAGGGGAAAAAAAGGACGAATTTAATTACTTCATTACACGCAGCTAATACGATGGTTCCTTGTGCATTAATTGTTGCACACGCGTACATATATCTCAAAAATTCCAGTTTGGTGACAACAATTTGGGGAAGTTGGGGGGATTGCATACAAGAAGTTGGGTATAGGCTGGGGTCCAAGCTTGTCGATCTCCAGCTTCAACTATGTACCCCTTTGGTTTCCCCACCCAGCCCTGATGACTAATCTCAGTGTTTTTATATCAGCTAGTCCCCAGATTTAATAAAAGCACCGAGTCCTTGGAGTTTGTTGTTTAATTTTATATCACAGGAACCCATAAATAAGGCTCATTCTAGGCTTTGCTTTATGCACATTTGCAAAAATCTCCCATCAGGCGTTTTATTTCACAGGTTACTCTTTAAGCTTAATAAAGTACCTTTCTGTTTTTGGAGAGGTTTATCTGCTCCAGAACGAATAGCCAGAAGACAACCTCTTATAAAAAGTCTGGGAAAGATGATGTATGCATTTAAATTGCTCATTCCCTTTTTGGAAAAGAAGAAAGTATTCCGTGGCATGTAAATTAATTGTGGTTTTTTTTTCTTTTTTCTTCTGCATTTATAATTACACTGAAGAACAGATGGGAGAAGTTTCTTCTGAATCAATGCAGCCATAAAAATATCTTGAAATATATGGAGCCTTGGTGCTCTCTGAGCTTGGTGGTTGGCTTGCAGACGTTTCATTACCTGACTAGGTAATAGCATCAGTGCTAGTGAGTGTGGGGTTGGCTCCCTGTTTATATACAGTAGCTTGCCCTGGCAGTGCTGGTGGGGGTGTAAACAGGGAGCCAACCCCACACTCCCTCGCATTGATGATGTTACCTAGTTGGGTAATGAAACGTCTGCAAACAAACCACCAAGCTCAGCACCAAGGACTCCACAGTTCAACCCTGAGCTACTTATATTCTCTTTTATTAGTATCGTGAAATAGCTAGATTCATCTCAGGTAGGTAGGTAGGTAGGTAGGTAGGTGTCAGGTTCAGCCCAAAGAACTCCCCAAGATAGCGCAGATACAGTTCTGTTGTGTTTATTAGCTTCCACCTCAAGACAGAATCTCTCCAGACTGAATCTAACCAGCAAGCCAAAACACCGTGAATTCCTTAGGGTGGTGCCAGTCTCATCTTCTTAAACTTCCCATGCTCCTGTTGAGGGCTAAGGGAATGCTTATCTCCTCAAGCGCGGCCTTCATCCAACCATTCCTTCACAGTAGGTAGGAAGGAAGGAAGGAAGGAAGGCCTTTAGTCAACAATACAATCTGCCACCTGTTGGGTACTTTTGGCCCTATTCCCACTAGACATTAAACCAGTTAAATCTCCCAGCACGCAACCACATTAAGCCAGTCAAAAACCATCATTTTGAATAATCCGTGCCCACTTTCCCTAAGAAGTGCCTAGTATCCCATGGATCCTTGCACCAAGATACTACAAGACATGCTCCATCACATCATGGAACCCTTCTCACTTGGCCAAGGAAACAGACATAGCCCAATCCATATTCTGGTCTAATATAGAGAGGTTTATTTGTTTTCAGCCACTCCTGTCCATTTTATTGTTTGGAGGACTCAGTAGGCAGTGTGGTGTTGACTGGGTTGAACTGTTCCCTCTGTTGACTGACTACAGAATGCAGTGTCAACCCTCTGCAAGACCCATTTGCTTTAGGTTAAATGCCGCTTCCTGAAGATTAGTTGACTGGGTCAACCTATGTTCCCATAACACACTACCACCCCTTTCATGTGGATCTTCCTTGGCTGTGCAAACTTGACGACATTCCTTTACATAAAATGTTTTTGACGCGTAGCCCTTGACCCACGCAGATGGTTATGCGCCATGAATAATGAAGTCTGAAATGTGTGCATCTTCCTTTGCACACACACAAATTTCTAGAGGCAACTAATT